CGATGATGACTTGAAAGTGAGAACAGGAAGAGAACTTTTGGAGACTACTTTTTTTTTTTTTTTTAACGTAAAAAACAAAATGGAACATGAACCAGATCACGAAAAGTTATGGGGTGTTAATCGTGGATATAATAAAATTTGAGGACGGTTTTTGTATAAATTCAAAGTTTACTTCCTTTATTGGGCCTTATGTAAGCAGCCGACGTAAGCTGAATAATTTTTAATTACTGTAGCCATTTTGTTGAAGGAAGTGTGTCATGTTTTTGCATCTTTGTCTTAGCAATTTTCTCCAAGTTTCAGCTCTTACTCGGAACCTGCCATAGGGATTGTGATCCATGGACAGAGTAGCAAACCAAGGTCCATGGAACAAAACCAAAACCTTAACTAACAACAATATATACAGTAGTATCTGGATCTTGCTATGTCAATGTTCAATTTCTCTGTTAAGTGTTGAGAAAATCTCGATGTACTTTAATGATTTCAGGAAAACACAAGACAGAAGAATATTTATTTACTCCTGATTTAACTGCATGTAAGTACATATAGTTGCTTCAAGATCAGATTCTTAAGAAAATGTAGATCTTCATGTTTCATCACGGTTCTCCAGATCCGGTACCAAGCCTTGCTGAACCCAAGAATACGAAGTTTTTTTGGTCAACAATATAGACGTAGGAACAACCAGATTTTACATTTGAAAGAAACTTGAAATGCAGAAGACAAAACCAAAAATCAAAGGAGAAAAAACAAGATCTAAAAATAGTAGATTCCTACGATTTGTGGACAAGGAGAGAGAGTATCATTTGCAGCCCATAAGCATGGAGTTGATGACGTGCATTATAAGTCTGATGGCAGAGACATCGCTGCCCGGTGAGTTACTGTGGTGGTGTAGAATTTGATAGACTTGTTCGAAGATTGGGCGAGCGTGGACTGCAATTATCTGGTCTGATGGGTTAATCGCTGCAACCACATCTGTCATCCAAGCAAGCTTACGGGATGTGTCCTTGCTGATGTCACATGCTAGCTGCTGCAACAGCGACATAAGAACGCCTTGGCTCAGCGGAAGTGGATTCATTGCCAGCAGTCCACGAAGATCCACCTGGTTAGGCAGTAGGCACAAACAATGTCATGGGATCATATGTATAAATGATGATTATGAGATCTTAAGATAAAGCATAATCCAAACAAGAGCTCACCCGTGAGCAAAGCCATGACACAATGGAGACATCGCTTCTATGTAGAGCCGAAGTGAAAGATTCTTCGTACTTGCGTTCGGATATCAACCTTGACAGCTCTGTTGTTGGGTCCATAGGTGCTTCAACCTAAAAAGACATATGTTGCAATTGGCAAAACTCAGAATACAACATCAACTTGGGATTCTGCTAAGAACCAGAAACGATTCTTTCTTTATTCACTCTCTGACTCAATTACAGAAGGTGAACAGAGAACAAAGTGACGAACCAAATAGAACCCTATTGTGAATTTTAGAGCACCCTAATCTCTCCCTAGCCAAAGCCAAGATCCAAGACCAATCTAGAATGTTCAACCCTTCTGCCTAAACTTCCTCTTAAGCTGTTAGCTCTATAGCAAACGACTCAACTATGATTCCTGAGCAAACAGAGTCCACTACAAGCCATCTAGGGCAAACACAATGCTTCTGAACTAAACTAACGCAAGGCTTTTTAGATTCACGGTTATCATTTATTCCAGAGATGTGCAAACCTTTTCAAGAAGAGCACCCAAAGGTCCGCTACTTAGTTGAGTAACCAAAGGATTTGATCCACCCGATTTTGCTCCAGCAGCTGCAAGAGCTAAACGATTCCTTCGACTCTCTGCTAAATCACGACTTAAGGCTTGATTATCTGACGACGAAGAAGTAATGGTTTCCTGAAAAACGAGCAGCGAGTGTAAACAGAAATTACTGTATTTTGCAACCACAACAGTGCTGAAAGAAGGATGATTTTCCATCATACCCGTAAAGTATGAGCAAGCTGGGAGCGTCCAGAGTCATATAGTTGCAGGGCTGCGTCTGTGTGCTCAGTAATTCCATTCTGGAAGGCTGTGTCTACTTGCTCAAACATGGTCTTGCATGACCTCTCAAAGGAAGGTATGACTGAGGACTCTAGACCGGTCCTAAGAGCTTCCTGAATTTATAAATGGCACAAATATCAACACCATTTTCACCAAACCATGATGATGCAGCTGAGACTTAAGAGTACGTCTACAAAGTATCATAAAACAAGGTGCAACTCGAATTTACCTGGAGGGCTTGCCTGCCCGAGGTCTGAAATTGGGCTTTAATTTGCTTAGCTATGGTTGCTTCAAGCTTTGAAATAACAGATTTGTCAAGCTGGTTGACTGCTTTGTCACCAAGTCCTCTCTATATATATAAGATAAATCAGTTTTCTTATTCAACAATACAACTCCTCATAAATCAGTTTTACATTTCTCATAAACTACTAACCTGGAAGGACTCTGTGAGTGCAGATAATACAGTTTTTTCAATAGCTGGTGTTGCTGCACGTGCTAGGGTTGGACCAGATGCAGCAAATTCCTTCTTCATCGATTTCTCAAACATGGCACTTAACTCCTTTCTCATGACGTTCGTCATTGCATTTACAATCTGCTGGTCATGGTCACGCAATGCCTTTTCATGCTTAACAGACTCCTCTTGGAGGCGAGCAAACAGAGCATCGGCAGTTGACTTGTTGGATCTCTCAATCATTCTCCCTAAAGCCGCTTCTACTCTTTTACCTTCTTTGATCATAGAGGCATTGACAGCATTCGATAGTTGTCTCTGCATCTCCCTTTGCGAAGCCAATATCTGGAAGAGAAACAATGTTTCAAGTAAAAAATTAAATTGTTTTTTACCAAAGAACTTCTTAAGAAGAAAGTAATAAACCTATCATCTATACTGCCAGTTATAGATAAATTACATATTCTTTTTAAAAAGAATGCTACAAAGAACTTTTATATGCCAACTCAAGTTACAACAAGTTTCATATCATATCCGTGAGATGATGCAAAAGTATAAAAACAGATAGTGTTAAGTAATAGGGAAAGATCAAAAGGTCACCTGATTCATTGTTTCTTGCATTGCTAAGGTTTGAGGAAGTGAATCTGGACGACTTAGCTCATTGTAGGAGTCAGCCAAATTGGCAACATTTGAGGATGTAGACGACAAACCAGGACCTTGTGAACTTTTGGCCTTATGTTTCTTCCCTTTGCTGTTTGTAGCTGCCGGCTGTGGAAACCCACTAGATGAAACCAACTCAGGAAGCTTTCCAGACACACCTTCTGAGTAAGGACCACATTCATCCTCAGCTTGTAAAGATTGTCCATAAGCCGTAGAGTTCTCTGGAATGAAGTTTTCCTCTGTAATAAGACGGTCTCTTGCCATCTCAATGCTGAGATTCGAAGCCTGTGAGCAGAAGATTTTTTCCCTATTTTCTGAAATGCAATGCTCAGTTTCATCAAGATAATTGATTTCACCATTCTGCACCGACCTTGCTTCACCTATTTCTTTTACCTCAACTTCTGTGCTTCTTGCATCATTATTTACGACCTGAATATTAGTATCTCTATCCCTCCTGTCTTCACTAGTAATGGAGGTTTCAGCTGACGAAACGCCCATCAATAGCTCTGAAGGAGTTACAAGATGAGTGGGGTGTTTGAAAAAAGCTGGTGGGCTTCGAATCCCAGACACATCATCATCAGGTGTAACATTCTTGTCCTTGCTTTTTGAGCTTTCCTCAACGGAAGACAGATCCAAATTTCTTTCTCCAACAGTATCAGTTTGCCTATCTACAGAATAATCAGCAGAAGGTGCTTTGCCACTGAGCTCACGAAGAGGAAGTACTTGCTCAACAGCTTCTGCAGGGGTGTGATAGCCAGAAAGTTGACTTGATAGTCTGGGACTTAGAGGAAGCTGGGGTGAAGGAGCATACGCAGAACCTGCATCACTTGCCTCAGATGGCAGCCCAAAAGTTTTAGGCTCACCGTTGGATGGAACAATTGCTGGTGATGTGGTCTCCGCTAATGCAGAGCCCACTGGAAAAGTCAATGTACTAGCACTTTCCGATCTATTCACTAAAATAGATGGCTTGGGCACTGAATCAACCGAAGGTAATTCTGTAGACTTTAGTTCAGATGGTTCTGGCGTGCCTTCAACAAGAATTGCCTCCCGCGACACACTAGAATCTGACTTCGCCAAACCCACATTCTCAATAGGAGGTGGCAAGCACAAGCATAAGTCTAACGTATACTGCTGGATCGCTTGAGTCTGAACACAATAAACCTTAACAATGGTTTCTTCTGGAGGATCATTTGTCCCTATAAAACTCAATATAGGCATAGTGACTGTAAATTCTGACAAGTAGTCCATCCTTGTATCAACTGGAGAAG